TGCTGCACTGAACCCCAGCTCTGCCTCTGCCTGCCCTGCAGTGACCCCGCTGTTCCACACACAGCACACAAGGACTGCACATGCACGGAGCCATTCCAGCAGGACACAAACACAATTCCCACGTGGAGCTGCACAAAGCTCTCACTGCACCTTCAGCAAGGGGCTCGGAGTCACCTGGGCCCAAATTCCTCCTGGTTTTCTCCAGGGTTCCTCCTGTCTGAGCTGCCTTTTATCTCCTCCTTAAACGGGAAAAGCGGGAGGGATCTGAAAGGATCCTACCGAGCTCAAACCCTGCCAAAAAATCCCAAAACACCCCCAAGAGATGCAGGGAAACCTCTGGAGGGCGTGGAGAAGGATCAAATGAAAACAAAACAAAACAAAACAAAACAAAACAAAACAACAAAGAAATAAAAAAGACACAGGGAAGCCAAGAAAAAATTCCACATTTTTAGTGCAAATGGTCAACAAATGGCACAGAAGGTGAGGGGACGCCCAGGGCTGGGGAGATCCTGAGCCTGACCCAGCAGAGCAGGCAGGAACCTCAGCAGGGCAGCCCAGGATTTCTGGAAGCACACAGAAACTTGGATAACTCATTAGGAGAGCTCAGGAGAGCAGAGAGGAGTCGTTAATTGCAGGGGACTCTCATTAATTGCAGGGGACTCTCATTAATTGCGGGGGAACTCGTTAAGAGCAGCCCAGGCCGTTCCCAAAGAGGAGAAGCTTTGGGGTTGGGATTGGGAATTCCTTGGGCTGGGGCAGAGAGGAAATCCAGGGGGAACAAACCCCAGCTGGGAANCCCCCAGGATTCTCTCAATTTTTCCACACTTTCCCCATCCCACCCCTCCACCCCCTGAAGACAAGAGCCAGCGGATTTTACCCCTTCAGGCCTTTATTTTGATAAAATTGGTCAAGCCCACATAAGGCAACGCACACACGGCTCCGCCCGCCCCCCGCCCGCCCCAACCGCCTCGGAAAATAAATAACACAAACCAAGAGAGGACTCCATGTAGTGTTTGGCTCTGCAGTATAGAAATTCCACACAATGATTCTGTTGTGTTGTTGTTATTTTTTTTTTGTTTTGTTTTGTTGGTTTTTTTTTTTTCCCTGTTTAAAAAGGTAAAAATGATTTATAATACACAGTCAGAATGTCGTGGTGCCCGCATAGAAAACCGACATGCAATCCATGCCTACACTGCGCCGTATAAATAAGATGCAACTCAAAATACAAAGAACAGGAACACTACAAAGTTTAATTCTAAGAGGGAGGGAGGTTTTTTTGGGTTTTTTTTCTTTTTCCTGGTTGTTTTGTAAAAAGGACAGACACACGTAACAAAGGCTACCTGCGCTTTCACATTGCCATCACAGTGACGGGGGCGCCGTTGCTCCGAGGAATAAACGCGCTGGTTTTGGGGTTTCTCCCGAAAAAAACAGCCAAGGTCGGGATCTGCGGGGGAGGAGGGGCCTTCCCGCTTCCTTCCTGTCCAGAGGGGCTTCCAGGCTCTTCCCTTGAGGGAATCAACCAAATGAAGCTCAAGCCTTAATTGTTGTTTTGGCAGAAATTCGAGGTTTTAGGTCCAAGGGTTCGTTTTTGAGGGAAATTTAGGTAAACTGCGTTTAGATAAACTCAGGGCAGCTTTTGCTCTTGGAATCGTGGAATTGAGGTTGGGACAGAGCCACTGAATCAGGGTTGGAAAGGAATCACTGGATTAAGGCTGGGAAGGAACCTGAATCAAGTTTGGAAAAGAACCTGACTCAGGTTTGGAAAAGAATCCCCAAATTAGGGTTGGAAAAGAACCTGACTCAGGTTTGGAGAAGAATCCCCAAATTAGGGTTGGAAAAGAATCTGACTCAGGTTTGGAGAAGAATCCCCAAATTAGGGTTGGAAAAGAACGACCCAATCAAGGTGGGAGAAGAAAAACCAAATTAAGGTTGGAAAAGAACTCTGGGATCAAGGCTGGGAAGGAACGACCAAGTCAGGGCTGGGAAGGAGCTGCAGGACATCAAACCCAACCCCGCTGAGCTGAAGGTTCACCCCGAGCTCTCCCCGCACCGATTCCCCAAACGATCCCCGCTCCCTCCCCGAACCCACCCGGTGCTCTGGGGAGGTTTCCCCTCTGGAAAGGAGGATTCGGCCCCGGGGGAAGGGGGCAGAGCCAGCCCGGGCCGTGTGGGGGCACAGGGGCTGCCAAGCGCTCCCTGCCATGCACAAGCCGGGGACGGGGTCTATGTACAGCAACAGGAGCCTCCCCAGCCCCAGCGCCAGGGCTGGGCGGCTGCTGGGACAGAATCACAGTTTTGGATGCACCGAGGGTTTATTCCTGCTCTTCCCCATTGTATTGGCAAATGCAACAGTCTAGCTTGGGAATGGGGGGGATTCCTTATGGAGATAGAAAAACAGAGGGAGGGGGTCAGGAGGGAGGGCGGGACAGTCACCCCTGGAGACACCAGACAGCTCCACCACCACTGCAGTCAAACTAATTATAGCAATTAACACCATTTCCTCCTTGAGTTTTTTGTTTTTCCTAAGTGATGGTTTTCCCTTTCTGCTCCCACCCGAGGGGAGGGAGCCCCAGACACTGGAATGAGCACAGGGCTGTCACATTTGGAATAAAAGCAGATTATTTGTTCTGGGAACGCTCGGGATCCGCTCCACGCTTCTCTCTGGGTTTGCTGCCACATCAGCCTGAGGCCACAACACTGGAATTTGAAGGAGTGAGAGAAAAGGGGGAATCCTCTGGGGCAGCTCCCACAGGAAAGGTCCCTGGGGAAGGGAAAGGAACCCCTGGATCTCCCAGGGTCGGGAGCAGAGGCAGCTCCACAGCTGGAGCCCCTCCTGCCACAGCTGGAGCCCACGGGCACCTCCTGCTCCTTCCCCAGGGACCAGACCTGCATCTCCCCCAGCTGGAGCTCCCCAACTGCCACAGCTGCATCCAAGGTGTGTTAGTCTGAAATTAAGGCGATTTTCAAGGTCTACTTACAAGTCTAAGAAACAAAGAGCTCTTATTTACACACGGAGTTAAAAAACCGGGCAGGAGCTGGAGCTGCAGTTCCCTGCCCGAGCCTCCCTCCCGTGAGGA